CGTCTGGCTACCGACAATACCCACGCCCACACAACGGTGCTGTGCAACTACGCGTCACTCCTGTGGTGTTGCCAAAATCGCCCATATTCACCACTACTGGAAGGAACCCCCCGCTTCGATCTTGTTGGCGGGTACCGCCCCTGAGACATCTGCCTCCAACACCTCTTGGTTTGATGGAATGGCGGGTTTTGATGAGACCCAGTGTTCTTCAAGAACGGCGGGTTTTGATGAGACCCGGTGGTCTTCAAACTCTGACTTTACCTCGACCGAGTGGATTGAGACTCTTGGTGCAATGGCACTACGTCGAAGCCTGGTGACGAACTGGCGGAATCCGCCTGGCCTCGCGGCGTTGTCACCAGTGTGGTCGGGGCACAGCCCTCGCTTGACATTTCCTGGCAACCCCGTTGACACCCGATTGAAGCAGCCATTGTGGGAGCACTCGCCCGTTTCCAGGCCTACAATCCCAAGTCTAGCGTGTAACTCACAAAATTCACGCTCGCCACTTCCTTCCACGCCGAACTTTGCGAGCTTTGAGCACCCTCGGCGGGCGCACGTCTATGTTTACTACTGCGATATGAACCATTCCCTGCTCCACGTGTGCAGCGCAGACCGTCACGACGCCGCTTCCTTTCGCTCCGTGAGTCGGTGCATTTGAGCATTCTGCACGATCGCACCTCTTGCCGTTGATATCAGTCATTCCCTCTAACGCATGTTCGGAGCAGAATTCTCGTTTCCCAGTGCCGCCCACGCCATACCTCGCATACTTCAGGCAGTCTCCCTGGGTGCACCTCTTGCTGACGATATCCATCATCCCATCTTTAGCGTGCTGAGAGCTAAACATCCGTTTGCCGCTCCCCTTGACGCCGAAAGAAGTATACTTCGAACAGCCTTCCTGGCGGCACCTTTTGCGGACATCGACCATCCCGTCTGCAGCATGTCTAGCGCAGAACTGCCGCCTGCCGCTCCCCTTGACGCCGAACGAAGGATGCTTCGAACAGCCTTCCTGGCGACACGTTTTGCTCGAGACATCGACCATCCCGTGTGCAGCATGCCTAGTGCAGAACTGCCGTCTACCGCTCCGCTTGACACCGAACGAAGGATACTTCGAACAGCCTTCGTGGCGACACCCTTTGCTGCAGACATCGACCATCCCTTCAGCAACGTGCCTAGAGCAGAATTGCCGCCTACGGCTCCCTTCAATGCCGTACCTGGCTAGTTTGAGGCAGTTCGGTTGTTCGCAGACCCTTCCCATGTTTCTTGGTGGGCGTAGGAGCCCCTGCGTTGTTTATACCGGTGTTGGTTTACGCCCACGCCTCTTGTAGTTGATTGTCGCTGCTTCCCCTTCGGTGTCTTGCAGGAAAAACCAGCTCTGCCGTATTCACTAGCTGGCTTGCACCTAAGTTCAATGATCCTGGTACCAAGGTGTCAGTAGCGACAAGTATAAACTAGCGCGGGCATAGATTTCGTCTTCAAGCAGTCACGTGACACCTCAAGTTCTGACGCTAACTCTGTATCTCTGTTGTGTCGCGCGTATTACAACAACGCCAGGCGAGTGCACACATTTAAGGCGGTGGAGCTGATCGCAGTCATTTGGTGTGTGAACTACTGTCGTTGTGATGCAGGCATGCGCCCAATTCGTCTCCATAGGAATAGCATATTCTCAATAGTGCGCCACGAAACCACACTGATGCGCCCGGCTAGCGCCCCATAGACTGTCATTCCCAGTCCGAGATGAAAAAGAAACTGCCTCGTCCAGCCTCCCTCCCCGTACCTGCGACAAATTAATATCGACCAATAGCCCCCAATGCCTGCTCAGCATCTCTTCGGGTGTGGTGACGTGCATCTACACTATCAATAACAGCGTACAAGAGTGAACGCGCTGTTTCACGGTGGCGCGTTCTGGATCTCGCCCTGTCCCCAACCTCAATAATCTTGTTGCCACTGTTATTTTCTTGAAATCATTTTTCGGTTACAAGTATTGAACGACCAGATTGGACGACAAGTCAAATCCGGTTTCGCCACCGCGCCACCTATATGGGGTTTCACTTAACATTTTGGGTTACCAGCCCCGTAATTGTTGCGTCTCATCCACCAGTCTGGCATCCTTGCAGCACAAAGCATGGGAAACGAAGTGAGTGACTGCAGTCAAAGAATACAAGAGTGTGTTTAGTAAAGTGTACTCATACTCAAGTATTTTTTCAGTAAATACTCAACCTTGAGCAATGCCCTTGAGTAAGTATTTCCAAAATACTCGTGTGTACTCAACCGTTTGAGTAAATATTTAAAACATACTCATGTGTACTCAACCGTTTGAGTAAGTATTTTAAAATTTCTCGTGCGTACTCACATACTTGAGTGTTTTACTCATCCGTTGAGCATTTCCTTGAGTAAGTTTTTCAAAAATACTCAACAAATACTAAAGCCTTTGAGTAAGTCCTTCAAATATTCTCATCCGTACTCGGATTTTCGAGTAAGTATTTCAAAAATACTCATCGATACCCAGGAGATTGAGTAAGTATTTCAAAACTACTCAGGCGTACTCAGCTACTCGAGTATATTAACTCAACTGAGTAAATCCTTGAGTAAGTATTTAAAAAATACTCAACTTTTACTGAAGCCTTTGAGTAGGTATTTCGAAGATACCATTCGTGCTCAGGTTTTAGTAGGGATTTCAAAACTACTCACCAATACTAAAGTATGAGTATTTCAGAACTACTCGCGCGTACCCTGGCATTTCAGTAAGTACGTCATATTGTATAACTTCTCGATGTAGGTCTTGCCCCGTGGGGTTCCGAGGGGCTTGCAATAGTTTCCCACAGAGAAGAGAGAGGAGTCCTCGCGAGCCCCTTCCTGCCGGAAACCGTCTGGTGTTTTTAAGTTCTTGACGGCGGACACCGTTTCCGCCGTCACAGAGTACACTTCGGAGTTCACCGTGCTGTAAGCAACAGCCGGTTCTCTGACGCGCACCGTTCGATCTCGATCACCTCAGAATCTGCTGCTGCTGCTTACGCAGCCTCCAAGGGTGCTGCACCGGCGGGTGCTTTTGCATTCGCAGCAGCTGCGTCACTTAGGAACCTCGCCGCTACCTCTACCCGATGAGTATTGAGTATCGCTTTAGTCGCGAGCCGCGAGCACGCGAGCAATCGTGTGCATCAGCGGAGTGTGTGGCGGTGGTGCACGCAAGGCCCGCAGAAAATGCCCCGCACCTCTGACGACGTCATCATAGTCAGCTTTTAGTCTCGGTGGTAATCACCGGATATTAGTATTTTTCCAGGGGTAGAGTACTACTGAACCATAGTCGAAGACGGAGTAAGTACTTGAGGAGGTTGAATAAGTATTTCGAAAACACTCGTCTGTACTCAACCGTTTGAGTAAGTATTTCAAAAATACTCATCGATACTCGGCAGGTTGAGTAAGTATTTTAAAATTACTCGTGCGTACTCACATACATGAGTATTTTACTCATCCGTTGAGCATTTCCTTGAGTAAGTACTTCAAATATACTCATCCGTACTCGGATTCTCTAGTAAGTATTTCAAAAAAACTCATCGATACTCAGGAGATTGAGTCAGTATTTCAAAACTACTTCAGGCGTACTCAGCTACTCGAGTATATTTACTCAACCTTGAGTAAATCCTTGAGCAAGTTTTTCAGAAATACTCAACTTTTACTGAAGCCTTTGAGTAGGTATTTCGAAAATACTCATCCGTACTCAAGCGTTTTTAGTAAGCACTTCAAAACTACTCAACCGTACTCACCAACTGAGTTTGAGTATACTTCCTCACAACACTCTGAGTACGGCGTTTAGTAATACTTTACTAAACACACCCTTGAAAGGATAGACACCAAATGTCTCGGACCGAAAAGTTCCTAGAACGCCCCAGCCGCAAGGCGATGCCACTGCTCTTTTTTCGCAGTCATACCAATTCTTGGCTCTTTGAAAAACGAGCCAGATGACCGATATGGACCACATCCACACGTGGGCGCTGTGGCGTCCGCCCACCTATCCTGCCCCGCTTTGTACTCCCAACTGTCAGAGAAGGGGTAGTGGGGATCAAGGCATGTTTTCCTGTCCTATCCAGTTTCTCGCAAGGTTGGGTGTTTGTCGTTAGAAAAGAAATCAGCTCGGGTCACAGCTACTGTTCTCCAAATTTTCAACACCTGCTGGTGGCGTGGTGCGATTCCTGCTGTATCGCAATCGCCGACTCTGCAAATGAAAAATGAACGTGGCGCACTCGTGAAGCTTGTTTTCGCACCCCAGATATCCATCGTGTCGCCACGGATGCTCATGGTATCGAGCGAAAGATGAGTCAGGCGCTCACCAACTCATGTTTTTATCATGGATTGTTCCGAAGGGCAACCAAGAATCCGTCCAACATACTACAATCAGTCAAAAGACGTTTACAACTTGGTTGACTCGACAGCAGATGATACCCATGTCGATCCAACACTTGGTAACAATGTCTGATAGTAAAACGATCAGCGTTGTGCTCTAAAGCCACTACCTTCATCGAGTGGCAAGTGAGTTGGTTTTGACCTGCTTCAAAACAAGCTCACAACAGGTATAGCCTCTCTCAACATCATGCATCGTTCCTTGCAACACACAACGGCCATTTCCCCCTGCAAATTCAACGCGAAAAAGAATTTTCGTCATGCGATGTGCCCGTCGCGAGCGACTCTCCTTACTCTTGATCGAAGCACGTCAAAACCAACTCACTTCCCACCCGATGAAAGCAGTGGGTGGCTGTAGAGGACATCCCTCAAGGTTTTACCGTCACACGTTCAATATCAAGTGTGGGATCGACATGGGTGTGTCATCTGTTGCTGGGTCAAACAAGGTAGTCCGTACACTACTACTGCTGCTGTGTTGGAAGGATTCTTGGCGCTGGTTCGAGACAAGACATGACAGAAACATGTTTTCTTGTGAGCTCCTGACTCATCTTTCGTTGCCATGATCGCCCGTGCGCATCTGGGGTGCCTAAGATTCCTTTTCGTGTGCAATGCAACGTTCGTTTTTCATGGCGGAGTCGGCGACTGATTGCGATGCAAAGAGGATGTTGCGGATGGGCCGCCAGGTCACAAAGAGCACTTGGGACGCCTCGAAAATTGTCAACTCGCCGCTTTCAGCCGAGCTGACAACTTTTCCACCGGCAAACAAACAATCTTGCAACAAATATTGGGCAGGAAAACATGGAATGACCCCCCCCAAACCCCTTCTCTAACAGTTGTGAGTGAAAAGCGTGGCAGGAGGGGTTGGGAGGAGAACACATAGTATGCGGCTGATCGGCGACGTGTGATGTCTGGCTTGTTAATAAAAGCAGAATTGGTTTCGCGAATCCGCACCACTGAAATTGCAGTGACATCGCCTGCGACTGGGTTGTTGTCGGAATTTTTCGGGCCGCCGAAAAATTACACGCCGAAAAAATGCATATCTGTGAAGTTGTAGTCTATCACGGTATATACGATGGAGTGAAGCCAATGTTCTCCGCAAGAGGCAATTATGAAAAAGTCTCCCCGCTATTTGTCTATTGGTTGGTGCGGGACATTGGGTGCTGTGCATAAAGAGCTCTCCCCCACTTCCGGCATAGACTATGAAATGCCCACAAGTATCTTATTGTCAGGCATCGACAAGATGGCTCTATCCATCTTCAGGTGGAGGAGGCCCTTGATCGATAATTCGGGTGGCTCGGTTCTTTGTGCTTGGAGCTCAAAGCGGGTGGCTCATGGCGGGGCGTGGAAGGGTAGAAACATGTAGCAAACGTATCGAAAAGGATTGTATTCGTCGGGGGCGTGCCAGTGCTCGTCAAACCTTCACGGTATCTGGGCACGCCTTCACTCTTTGTCACTCAACGAATCTCTCTGAATCTCCACCAAATACCTCTCGCAACCAAGGAATATATGTAGAAAGTTCCTATCCCTCCGCATCTCATCACTGTTACTTTCGTACGTACGTACCGGACATCTCAACCGTCATACTATGCTACGAGTACTCCCAATATATCTAATAGCCCCCCTACTCGTATGCATCGTCATGCTCCGAGAAAAACCAAATTCCTCTTTACCATCTCTCCAAAACAAACAAAAAAAAACTTTAACACAACAAACACTCCTCCAACCTTCACCAGACTCTCTCTTTTCTCTTGTCCAATCTCGTCTCTCTCTCTCTCTCTCCATCACAGAATACGAATCGACCCCAAAACACTTCCTTCACTGCAAGTTCATCACAAAGCCACGGTGCAATGCAAAAGACTCCTTGCTCACGATCATACCCGACAATCTACCAACTATAATCTACGTAGATCCATGCTCCATTATTCAACCATCAGCTACATTATTTCCTTCCGAAAGAACATCGTGCCCCCCTGATCTGGGAGATCCACCACCTGCCTTTAGAAGGGTCGGAGTCAGAACCAAAGACCAAAAGAACAACAACATTCGAAATTCATCCAGTCGAAAACTCATGGAAAAACAATCCTCCAGCATCGCAAATTCCAAGACAAAAATCCAATCCAACACCAAAACCCAAACCCAAACCAATACCAAACAAATCCTTTCAAAACTCAAACTCCTACATTTGCCGGCCCATCAACCCCGGCGCTTTCATCCATTCCTCCTGCCACTGCTTCTTCCCCGCGGTAGCCACCCTCGCCTCTGCCGCGGGCACCCTTTTCTGCTGGCATTGCCGCGGCTCGGGCTTCATCAGGTGTCACGTATCCGTCTGGATGGGGTGTGTACAGCTGTCTCTCCGGAGGGATTGACTCGACAGTGCAGGGGAGATTGCGCATTCGAAAGGGGAAGGCAAAGGCAAAATCAGTCACCCAAAGCGTCAATTCAGCACGTGGCACTGCTGGGGAGAATACCTTGCAATACGCCCCCTGTTCTGCGCAGCAGTGATTGTTGTCTTTCGCATTCTATATGACATCATGGTTACCTATCAAATCGAATGCCAATCTGCGACTGAGGTTAATTACTCCTCTTTCGCAAAAAAGGCACAACGATTCTTGTGATTTGTCTGACAAGGTTAATTATTCCTCGGTCACGCAAACAACAATGTTGGACCCATGTTAGAGCTTATACAGCAGTGTTTCGGATCAACAACCCAACACATCTTCTTACTGGTGTACTACCACTGCGCTGCTTTCGTGCAGATAGTGTTCTGGTCCGAAATGGAGATCATCTCTCTCGATGTAATCCTGTCGGTTACACAGGCCCCTGACCAAATTTCCAAGTGTGTCCCCTGCAAATCCTACCGTTTGACATGCAACGAACAGAACCCGCAACTCATGGTCGGTAGAGGGTACAAAGGTTCATGACGCCTTCGCATATCCCCGTATCAACGTAAAAGCAAAAACAATTGAATCGGAGATCAATCTCTGGATTTTTGAAACATCCGGGACAAGGCATTTCCATAAAGTTCAAAAACTCAAGAAGGTATGCAGCAGCTTGGATAGGATTCGCTGTCAATCTCATCTAATCTTTCAGTTTTTGTGGGTGACTGGCAACCTTACGTGGCGTAGCAGCCATATAACCTCACAGTTTTTGTGGGTGACTGGCAACCTTACGTGGCGTAGCAGCCATATAACCTCGCAGTTTTGTGGATGACTGGCAACCTTACGTGGCGTAGCAGCCATACAACCTCGCAGTTTTTGTGGGTGACTGGCAACCTTACGTGGCGTAGCAGCCATATAACCTCGCAGTTTTGTGGATGACTGGCAACCTTACGTGGCGTAGCAGCCATACAACCTCGCAGTTTTTGTGGGTGACTGGCAACCTTACGTGGCGTAGCAGCCATATAACCTCGCAGTTTTGTGGATGACTGGCAACCTTACGTGGCGTAGCAGCCATACAACCTCGCAGTTTTTGTGGGTGACTGGCAACCTTATTTAGAATAAAACGCCCTGGGAAGGGGTCTACTGCTACTGCTGTAGTCTACCTCGGAAATAACACGATTAAAGAAGACACGTACGTACGTATGCAGAAGAAACGCAACTTGGTGTGCTGAAGGTACACACCCAAACGAAATCTACGAAGACCAACATGCACGCACACAGTAACCACTTCAGACGTAATACGATCAACAGATCATCACGTGCCTGAGCGGATCTACGACCCTAGTAGACGCATGCTGATGGTGTTGCTGCTTGGCATCTCCAGTAGGTGACAGCAGCAGTCGTCACACCCAGCTGCAGCTCACAACTCCAGCTCGGGATCCCGTGTTTCATCCGAGCTGCTACTCGCTGGTTGACCAGTTCTTCGATCCTGGCGTCCTCCGCTGCTTGGCGGGCTTCCGCTGCTGGGCGGGATTCATCTTCGCGCCTGGTGGCCATCGTGACCCTGCTCTTGATCGCCGCAAAGCGATGCTCCTAAACCAAGCTCGACCGCGAATCTCGTAGACGACGTGTCATACGCTAGCGTGATCGATAATTCGGGTGGCTCGGTTCTTTGTGCTTGGAGCTCAAAGCGGGTGGCTCATGGCGGGGCGTGGAAGGGTAGAAACATGTAGCAAACGTATCGAAAAGGATTGTATTCGTCGGGGGCGTGCCAGTGCTCGTCAAACCTTCACGGTATCTGGGCACGCCTTCACTCTTTGTCACTCAACGAATCTCTCTGAATCTCCACCAAATACCTCTCGCAACCAAGGAATATATGTAGAAAGTTCCTATCCCTCCGCATCTCATCACTGTTACTTTCGTACGTACGTACCGGACATCTCAACCGTCATACTATGCTACGAGTACTCCCAATATATCTAATAGCCCTGCAACAATTATGCACCCCCCCACAGATGAACACAGCAGCTCACAATAGAAAACAGAGCGAAACGGAAACCGCGCCATAGATGACAACATGCAATCACCCGCCTCATCCCAAGCTGGTATGTCCCTGTCTAAAGCACACACCGTAGAAAGAAGCCGGAGTCTGGGTTCACCCGTTTGTAGCCGGAGCCTGGGTGCCGTGTGCTGCCCGCGCAGTGCAGCAGCATTCCCGCAGGCAGTCCGGTGGGGCTCCGTGGTCTTACCACCGTTTCAAATGTCGTCACACACGCCTACCACTCCCCTGACCCATTTTCCGCCGTCCCCCTAATCTCGCCGCCGCTTGCCTGCCTCCGACGGGCACGCTGCACAGGCAAAGAGGTGCTCAATCAACGACGCATCAGATTCCCTCTGTCTCTATTGTCACGTGTGCCTAACCATGGAGGACGAATGGTACTCGGGAGCTGATACAACCGATGGGACTGGCGGCGGGGGTGGAGGAGCCCTTGCTGGGGGCGGTGCACAGCAGAGAACGCCGTACGGGGACTCGTTCACCCCACCGAGCTCCCAAGGCGGAATAATGGCAGGCCAGCAGGTATCGCCAGCAGTGCAGAGCTTCCGGTCTATTGTGCTTGAAAGCGAAAGACTGTTGTGTGCTCTTTGGATTGGGGTAGAGTTCTAATTTGACTATACCTGCATCCTCTGCATATCACGGGGTGTATGGTACGGCGGGGAAGAAGCGGCCATGTGCCGTGCTGCCGTGTGCCTACAGCAGTGTAGGTTGGTCCCAAAAGGGACCGTCCACCCTTACCGATGACCTCCGTCCCGGTTGAAAGCCATACCCACCTCCGCGTTGTACGGGGGTTCTGTTCTGTCACGAACGCCCAGCTCCTTATGGCAAAGTTTATTGGAATATTTACTCCAGATTACCGGCCGGGTGTACTCCAACGAGGATTCCCACGCAGCTGCTTTTCCTTCCGCGAGCGTTTTGTTCGGTGTCGACGGCGGTGCCACTGCTGCTGTTGCACCTGTTGACCCTCACCCATGCGCAAAACCGTTACCTCTTTGGGTGGAACATTAAAGTATGTATGTCGTTCGGCCACGCCCCCTAATGTATGCATATCGCACATATACATACTGCCTCCATCGTGGTTGTACCAACGCTCGCACAGCCGAAAACAACCTTGGCATCACCCACAAGAAGACGCTGATACGCATAGCTTGCGTGATGCCTGAGAAGGACGCTACAATATACATCAGGAGTGTTCGCAGCAATAATCCATTGTTTCCCTGTGCCGCAGCCCCCGCCTTTCGCGAGTCACCCACAAACACCCACATCAACAAGGCATGCGCCCGCCTGCTCGATATTCCCTTACGATCTCGTACTGAACCTACGAGGGGCGCGGGGCACTCCGCTCTACCTCTTAACAGTCTAAACAATAGTACACTGCTGTCTCGACGTCCTCTGGAGCCAGAGAGCGCATTTTTGCCGCAGACAGCGGCAGTAATGTTGTGGCTGACTGCAGTGGCATTTCGGGAGTCTCGCATTCCAATCACATGAACCCAAGAATGGATGACTCAGCGGTTTTTTGGGCGATGTATTCTACGCGGGGACCCCATCTCTCTCATGCTTTGGCAGTTCTGGGCCGAGCAGAGCCAGCGGGACGTATCGGCTGGTTTTTTGTGCATGTAGAACTCGTCAAGTGTCCAAGTGCAATCTCACTTACCCCTCGATTCCGTCCCAAATTGGATGTATGCGCCAATTGGACTGGCCCGTCAGGGCAGGCAATGTGGGCAAGTACGCTGGCTCTAGTGAAACGATTACTGCTGCAGCTTGGCAGCTCGCCAATGGTCCGACCACAAAGCAATTATCTCGAGACGCGCATCTGACCCTCTTGCACGTCCCACTCATTTTCCGCCGTAGTAGCCCACGGTGTTTTACGCTCCACCGGTTGCCTTCGGGGTTCCTCGCCTGTGTACTGTGCGACAGCCCCCGTCACGTGATAAGCAACAGGTGTTTGCCATAGTCTCGGGTGAGCGCGACCTAACAAATGTACACAAATTCGTGAACGGCATCGTTGTTTTGTCCAGGCCTACGGAGCTCCTGGCGCAAGCATGGGCGGCTATGGCGGGCACGCAGCAGCAGCCGTAGGGGCGGGAGGCATGCGGGCGGAGGGAGTGGGCGGCCGAGGGGTGGGGGGCGGGGTCGTCGGTGCCATCCTGGAGGACGAGGAGGACTACGAGAACGAGCCCCCGTTGCTGGAGGAGCTGGGCATCAACTTCGAGCACATCTGGTCGAAAACGCTCGCGGTGATCTTGCCCACGAAGAAGATCGACATCAACTACCTGGTGAGTTCGCGAGTTGTTGTCCGTGGGAGGGTGGGGTGTTTGAACGCCTGACTTCGGTGATGAGGGAATTCCTTGGTGCGGTACCAAATCTCTAGATTGGGAGCATTCTGTGATGTTGCTTTGTGTGGCTCCTGCTGTCCCGCGCGCGCCAGTGCTGCATGCCTTGGTGTTGCCAAACACCGCCTGCCTACCGCTGACACATGCGAACGGCAGAAGCGCACGCCCATGTTCTCTCCACGAAAATTCCAAGCCAAGCACGACGTGTTTTGGTACCGATCCTGGCAAGTGGCTTTCAAGACCGCGGGTACTGGAAGATCACGTAGAAGGGGCACGCGAGATCACCCCCCGTTCAGAGTAACTCGCCCGGGGAAAGGTCCTGTTGGAGGCCCCCTAGTTGTTCAGAATGCGGTGTCGCGTGAGCCAGCCAGGGCCAGCTCGTAGCCAGTGGGCGGGAATGGTTTCCGTTTGTTGAGCTGAGGCATATGACTGACCCAACAGTCGACGTGCTGACAGCTCGATGGCGGTATCCATGATGAACACCGGCCCCAAAGGTTCCCCTCACGGTCACGGCAAATGCCACTGAAACACGGACCAGTCGGAAAACTAGTGCCCGGAACGCGCAGATATCTAGGGCACAATTTTTTGCGACTGTTAGGCAGCAAGCAGAAGTATGGATCGTGCTTCAGCAGACATGCTCTGACCACGTGATCGGAACAGTGAGTATCTGCTTCGCCGACATGTGCCGTTTGTTGGTATTGCTCGAGCAGTTGCTTGTGAAGCTCCCATCGACCACGCTACACAAGGCTCTACTCAGCTGTTGATGTTGCCTCTGCTGCTGCTGCTGCTGCTGCTGCTGTTTCCTTCCTTCCTGCTGCCATGTGCGATTCTGGTGTGCCCTACTATTCTTTCTATATATATATCTGACTCTCTCTCTCTCTCTCTCTCTCTCTCTCTCTCTCTCTCTCTCTCTCTCTCTCTCTCACACACACACCACACACGCCACAGGACGACACGGACCTGGCAGGTCCGCTTGTGTTCTGCTTGTGCTTCGGGCTGTGCCTCCTCTTGACGGGAAAGGTGAGCGAAGCCAAGAAGATTTGCGGGGACGGCGGGGTTGGTGAAGCGGGGCAGGTGGACTGGATGCCAACATACGGCGCGTGTGTGTGTGAACAGTACCAGCGGCGACACCGGCGGTATATTTGATGCTGCTGTTCGAGTGCCAAGCTTCAGCGTACACCACTCAAGAGCAGCGGCGCGTGCACAGCTGAAATACTCCCGTGCATGAAACCAAAGCTCGGATTGCACGTATGCCTATGTAATTGGAAGCCTTGGACTTGTGCACGAGGCGTGTATGAAGGGCAGGTGCCTCATGCATCGCCAGGGGAAGAGTAGCGTCGGATATGTTGGAGAAGAAAGACGACGTACGTACCGCCGCCGCCGCTAATCAACAGGCACTCCGCAAAGGCCAGGGCTGGCGCTTCAAAATTTAGCCCGCGTGTGGTACTTGCGTGTGTGTGTGCCCCTGGCGAAAAGTCTACGTAGGGATTGGTGTTCATCTGCCTCCCCCCCTCTCGCGGTCGTTGCGGTGTGGTATTATTGTGCGTTACTTGCACACTCCAGCGACTCCTGGAGGGACGACGGGCGACCCCTGAGTTTTCCCCCCGCAGCGTTTGACTTTGTGCGATCGACTCCGTGGCACGACGCTCCTACCTGCAGCGCTATCCTATCCCCCGCGCGCCTTTCTTCAACCTTGCGGAATGGTGTGAGTGATTACGCCTGTTTTCTTCAACTGCTGCGCTCTCAAGACCTCCTGCTTGCCCAAATCACCCTGCCTACCGCCTACCGTTGTCTCACGTCACCCGCAGCCACACTTTGGGTACATCTATGGGTTCGGAATGTTTGGGTGCATCGCGACGGCGATGGTGCTCAACCTAATCGGAGAAAAGCCGATTGACCTCTGGAAAACGACAAGGTGTGTGTCCCAGTTCCTTTTACCCCACTCCGCGCCCATCTTCCTCGCCGGCAGAGAACTCGTGCTTGCTCCGAAGAACACGCCTCAACCCTGCCAATCGGCATTCGGGGATTTTCCTGCTGGTGGATGTCAGGAAGTGGTGCTGGTGTGGCAGGTGTTTGAGATGTGCGGTAGGCATGATGAAGAACGTGGTAGGCCGTTGTCGTGTCCGCGCAATGGGCCAAACTGTGGGCGCAGCGCCAGCGGTGAATGAGCTGCTAATACTTGCCTTGTTCACTCACATCTTCTTCCATTGTAGCTGTGCGCAAGCACAGAGCGGCACTGAGTCCCCCTACCCTAGCGCGGCAGCCACAGCCAACCTGACCTGAATCCCGCCCCCCCACCCCCTCGGCCTTGTTTGCCATCGGGGTTGGGTTTTCGTCGCTTGGCAACGACGTTGTAAAACAAGCCCCCCGCTCGGTGTTTGCCATCGGGATTGGGTTTTCGTCGCTTGGCAACGACGTTGTAAAACAAGCCAATTCACTTCGTGAACTCGGCAACCAGGTTACCGTTTTTTTTTTTACCTCTGTTTTTTTTTTTTGGCGGTAACCGTGAATGGTGGTCGAGTAGATCATGTTGTGCGGGGTGGAGAACCCTCACTCCGCGCAAGGGGGATGATCGCACCACGTTGTGTTAAAATGGTCAAGCATCCTCGAGGAAGTTACACAGTGCTTACAACTGTCTCTGGAAGTGAAAGCACCAGAAAATAAATTAAGTCATACGTAGCTGTCATCCGTACGCAAGGAAGTAAGCACAAGATGCCGAACACCCTTAGCAGGATGCATCTCACCCTTCATGCGACTCGCCAAATACCTCACGGCGCTTCGCGCTTGGTGATGTGAGAGCCTGGTCCGGTGAGAACCCGGCGTGCTCCGTCCCGGCTTTGTAGGGATGCGAGGTCAATGGTCTAACGACTACGGCATGCACGACTATGAGTACACCCCCCCCCCCCGACATCCCAACCATGCAGTGTTCTGGGGTACTGCCTCTTGCCGGTCATCGGCTTAGCGGCGATGGGGATAGTGACGGACCTGCGTGGGAACTTGGGGCACGTGCTGGGGTTCGTGGCGGTGGCCTGGTGCACCATTTCGGCCACCCGCTTGTTCGAGGAGTATCTGGAGATGCGAAGACAGCGGTATCTCGTGGCCTACCCTGTAGGCCTGCTGTACGCTTGTTTCGTTCTCATCACGGTGTACTAACCGGGGTATTGCGTCTCTTGTGCTGGTGTTTTTGTGGGGGATCGATGCGCGCGCACACACATCGCCCTGCTGGTGTAGTACGTGAAGCACTGCTGTCAAGTGTAACGTTCCGAAGATCGCGCGCACTTCGTGGTAGATCGAGGTGTTGCCATCATTGTTGTTTCTGTGGTCGCTGCTGCTGTTCTCGTGTAGCAAGGAACGGATGAGTTGAAATCGGTAGACATGAGGATTTGTTCGGCTATACTCGCCAGGGGTGCTCACTCACCGCTGGCCCGCAACAATAACAGCCCGGGTCGTGTTTGCAGCAGCAGCACTTTTCGTCGGCATGGTAAAAGTCCGTCGGGCGGATGTGCACTAGCTCTTGTACCGTCAGTCCACAAACTTGTGGGAGGTGCCTCACCAGACGAGGGGGGTGGACAGGTCGGCTTGACACTCCAAGCGGCGGCGCTGTTTCTAGGACTACAGCAGTTCGCAGAGAAAGCGGTTGTTTCTCAGTTCAGCAACAAAGTGGGTATCGTTGCCACGAACGTCCGCTGATTTCGTACACAAGATGTTTGGGCTCTTGTGTTTGGTTGAGCCTGCCTGCGTACGGCGACTGAGGGCAATACAATGTTGCAGTGTAGTCGCTCTGAGAATGCATCGTCGGCCTAGAGTGTGTGGTTCTTGGCGTAACATAAGTGCGGATATGTGTGTAAATAGGTTTGGGGGGGTCAGTGCGTTGTATTAGCCTTGGGCTTGCCTGTCATTCATCGGTGCTTTGTCCGATAGGATTGTCCGTCTCAAGCGGTGGTGTTACGGTAAAAAAATATCAAGCAATCATGTTCGGTGTCACACTTGCCCATGTGGTCCACGTTTCAACAAAAGGGATGCCAACAACGAAAGATGGGTCTCTGGGCATGGTATTTTGAGCGCCGCACTTTTCCACGCCCACCTTGCTTACTTTGGAGAACTTTGCACTCAATGAATCAGCCCGTGGTGTGTGGCGATGTTGTGTGTAACTTACGGTTCAGTTCACGACCAGCCTCAGCCTGAGTGAAAGCGTTTGTTGTTTTGGCCTTTCAGTTATTATTTTGCCCTCTTCTTTCACCTAACGGGGACGCCAAAGAACAAAAGTACCACTAATGCTCAGCGCCGAGGCTTTAAAGTCCAACATAAGGAGCCACACGTCGAACTGGCCAAAACCATCACCGATACCTGAAAGCTTCGCCTTATACTGTACCAAGAACACTCCCATCTTCGAAAAAAACACGATCACACCATGACATGTAATCGAGTACATGACTCGACCTCCTCCTCCAAACTAGAAACGTGAAATACAACCCTCCAAGTGTTGGGGGCGACGACTAATAAACTCTGGCAAGGTTGAATCGTCCCCGACCAATCCCGTTTCGGCGACGCCTCTTCTTCGTCGCCGCCACCCCCGAGAGCTGCTTCATCCGAAACGTCACGTAGTCCTGCCCTCGGTGAGCTGCCTGGTTATACAGCAGAAGTTGTGGCGGTTGAAATAACGGGTTGGTAAGTTCGCGAAACGTGGTGCGTGAAGGAAGCAATAAAACGGAAGAGCGAAGAACCAATGAAGTTCGACTTTTGCATTGTTTCCGATACCCTTCGAACGACGGAGTGCCGCAGAGGACTCAAACGGTCATGGCTGACAGAAGCAGAGAGAACGTCAACACCTCATTACCAATTGCAACACAGGCGTCTACGATGAAACGCTCATGCTGTTGGGAGGCAACCGACAAGAAGAGGGCAGAAGGATGAGTTTGGGTGGTAGGAGTAGAAACAGGGAATATCCACGTTGCCAGAGCAAGAACGAAGGGCGTCAACGGTATAAACGAGTGCCACACGTCGATGTCGGCTCAAAATTTTACACATACAATTGATGGCACGTGCGGGGAAAAAAATGATTGTCTCGCCCGTTCACCTTGCAACAAAGATGAGCACAAGGTGGCGAGGTATCGTACTCAAGTACCAACACGTTTCTCACACTACAGTGCCCTGTTCGACTCGCGCAAACCAATTCTGGTTGAATGATCTCGCAACGAGAAAAAGGCGTTCGCCACACAAGGATCGAGATGCTACAGTAGTTTCGCGAGGAACCCCCGCCCCGCTGCGGTGTCCCTGCTTCATGCCCCGCTCAACAACACAAACAACAGTTGGCTGGACTGGCATTTGACTTCATAAAAAAGAGCACCAACCGTCATGCGCCACGTGGACTGGCGCTAGACCCAAGCGAGCACTCACCGCTTTCTGGGTGGCCACTTGTAGGGACTTCTGCGCCGTCCGCAACGTCTCCATCTTGGCCGGTGCCTTGGTGTCCTCCACGTCCTCCGGCAGGGCGTTCATCAGCATCATGAACTCCCTCTCACACACCGCCGTGCTCGCATGGTCGAGCACTTTTTGTACCTGTATACCAGGGAGGGCACCCGAAATATCGTGGTCGGCCAAAGTCATGCAACAACTACTGCTATACCGGTAGACCGAAAAGGTACAATTCAGAGGCGACGTGATGCGTTGCCCAGCATGCATGAAAAGGCTAGAAGTATGGGTTGCATCGGTGTCGATTCTAGTGTAGATGTAGATGTTACCACGTTCCGTATCCAGGTGCAAGTGTGTGCTGCTCATCGGTATGAGTGTTCCTTTCCTCTGCTGGAAACAACGCGGCACGAGCCAGGAGCAAGGCTGGTCACACACAAGGAGCAAAGTGGCTTGAACTGCCATCTAGCGAACGACATACCACTACCGTAGTAGTGGGCCCTCAACAACGCCGGTTGAATAACGCCGGTGGCCCTGTGTAGCGCCGTGACTTGCCCGGCACCGACCGAATCACCAATTCATTCTGTACTTTGAATAGCGCCTGTCCTTCTGAATAGGGCCGGTCTGTTTGCCGGGCACGTACCGGTGTTGTTGAGGGCCCACTGCTGTAGTCTAGCCTGCGAGAACAATTCAAGGTTTCAAAATACAAATAAAGGAAGATTTACTAGTACATGCTCCACCTTGGCGTGATTGCCGCTCGCATACATACGATGCCGTATTTGCGCCCGGCCCTCTTTGCGCTCGTGCGCTTCCAAGTTCAAGACCGGGGCTGTCAATCAGGGAGGCAGCAGTTTTGAACTGCTGTTTCGGTTGTCACTTTTTTGGTTTACCGCGGCCATTGTCTTGCCGGCATTTGCTGGCAATCACTGACGAAAACGGTTGCAACACCGATCCATACGGCACTCACGATTGAGTCTGTTTGGTAAGGGACCTTTGCCGCTCACCAACCGCAAGAACCGAGCAAAGAACACTCGGGCCGGCCTGCCTTACGAGGCGCAATCAGCAGCTATATATCAAGCTGCAGGGAATGATAGTGTATAAGCGATTGCCGATTCATAGGCTATTGCAACTTGACAGCGTGCATTTGTGAGCTGTGTTTCATATTCAAGTACCGCTACGGTAGGATACGCTTTGGAAGCCTATGATATTATGTCTGTGAAGTAGGCCAAGAAGCGGCGTGTTGTTGTGCTGCGACATTAGCCCCTCCAGAGGCAAGGTACTCACCACTCTACGTCGGGCAGGCGTCCGCATAGCAGCCGAAGCGGCCCCGATGGGATTGAGAAATCTGGACATGGCAGATCCACACACTTCACCCTGGGCTCGTCGGTGGTTCCACGCTGTGCGCTGTGCGCCCTGTCGCCTCGACTGCACACTGCTGCTGTGTCGCGTCTCATCAGATTGGACAAGACACCCCGCATATCTGCGTCTGCATTCCACGGGGCTCCCGCCCAACCCGCTCGTACACTCTAGTCAATACACCATTTGCAATAGGCTTGGCATACAGCGACGTCACGGACATGCTGAGGACAGCACTGCAGACTGGGGTGGGCTGCCTTCCGAGGCGAGCGGCCAGTGGTGGTGCCGTTTCTTCCGCGCAAGCAGGTCGGCGGGCGTTGTCTTCTCTCCAAGAGGCACTTGTCAAGGTCACCTTCGTCGATGCAGAGGTGCGACTGCTTTCTTCTTTCGTCTCCCTCTCTCTCTGGCTTGGTTTGCAGTACAGCAGTACATGTGTGTACTCACGAGAAAGGGTTTCTGCGCGCGCTAGGTACTATCCTCATTCTAAGAGTTTTGGGGGCATGCACAAATAGGCGATACAAAGTCACCTGAAATGAGAGACCCGCTGTTCGCATGTTTTGTACCATGGTATTTGGGTGTAAGAGTACCTGGAACAGCTCTGAGTTTCACGGAAATTGGGGCGATGCCAAAAGGTGGACACTTCACCTTGACAGCAGTTTTCAGGGATATACGATAGTCTCCAACTAGTAGATCAAGGTGTGGTACGTCTTACCGCTTGTTGCTTGCATGAAGGTCACCGAAGCACGTGTAGTTAGAGGCCTACATGTACGCATGAAATCTGCCAGCTGATGTAGACATGAAACAGCTGCCGTCCACGGCACAGAAAAAGGACGCCAAGCCGGCGAGGTGAGGCGGGCAACACAAGCAAGCCTGGCACTGCTGTACTGCTGTTGCAATGATCTCGCTGCGCCTACGGGGTGCACCCTCTGGGTTCACCAGCGCACGGACTTTGTGCAAGCCTACAAGTGTCGGCATTTCATCGACAGGCACAGCATAGTGTATACAACACCACGGAGAAGGCAGAGAGGGCGTTGCTTCCTGGTGACGAGAGACGGGTGCTGCCGCTGTCGGTGCTCATGGGCCGGCAGCTTGGCAATCCTTGCTCACAGACAATCCGTGGTCGTAGAGCAACTCTATGTAGAAGCAGAGACGATGAGACCTGCTTTTTTTGCTCTAGTTCACACGACCAACCGTCTGCCTCTCTCCCAATATCTCCTTGACCTCTCCCCCCAATATACAACCCCCCCTTGATACCCCTCCTCCCCTGTCCGCGCCCGCGTGCGCAATTTCCATCTCCCCGGCACCCCAACCACCGGGCGCGTGATGGCCTTCTTGGACGTGGACGAAAACCGACGAACAAAACGGGGCACCATGTTCCTTCCCACAGGGAGACCGCGAGACCGTCTCCGCGCTTCCGGGACAGAACATCTTCGAGGTGGCGGAGAAGCACGAGGTGAGGGAGCGAGCAACCCAGGCGATGAGAAAGCCTGGATTTTCCCCAGAGCGACGGCAGCCAAAAACAACAGCAACACCGTAGGATTCCCCGAGTTGCCAACAGCGATTACTTGGCGTGATAGCCTCCGATATACGGCAAGCAAAGGGCACCACCACCCTCACACTGCCCAAAATGCAGGAAGCCGGACGCAGCGGATGCAGTCGCCCTGAGTGTGTGCCTTGTCGTAGCCCTCGCTTACACCGGCCGTCGCGACGGGCCTCGGTAAGGGTGGGAGTCAGGCGAGGCCCGTAGCCCCTGGTGCGCCTGGTCTTGTTACCCGTGAACCACCTTGGGGCTACTGCGTCTTTCTTGTTGGGTTGGTCTCGCTTGGAAACCCTTGATGGGGAAGAATGTCCGTCGCTCTTGCGATCTCCGAGTTGTTCTTGGCCGACTCATCTACTGTATCTAGAACGTCATGTTAACGGTGTTGAGAGACAGTTGCAAAGCGGGGCGTCAATGTCATCAGCAGTTGCTACTCTACTACTGCCAGACACCGGCCGTTTTGTGTTCCTGGTAGACGAAACAGACGATCCAGTTTGATCAAACTCTGCCGGGCGCCTGCCGCGCGAGGTTTATGAGGTACAACGTTGTTCACTCCCCCCCCCCCCTTGTGCTACTTTGCTGTGTTCCTCTCGCTTGATCATGCCGATGTGGCGATGCTGACCTCAATGGGCTGGATTGGAGTGCAGATAGCGCTGGACGGGCCCTGCCGGGGGAAAGCCGGTGCGGTGCAGAGCCGCAATTCGGAGTCGTGGACGGTGAGCATCGTTCTCTTGTATCGTTGTCTTTCGGTGGCAGGGGGCATAGGACGACATTCGGGGCAGCGTGGGACGGAGGAGGGTGGGGATTCGCTGCAAATTAAGGATGGTGTTTGTGTTACCATTCCCTCCGATACTCAATTCGCATGTGGTGCGGTTTGGGAAGTTCGTTCCGAAGTATTCAGTAATACGCGGGGTTGCAACGTCATCCACGAAGTGTCGAAAAAAACGTGGTTTGTTTGTTTTCGAATTCCCGACATCGCTTAATAGTGCACATGCAACCCTTGCACCAGGAAGTGAGGTTGCTCTCAAACCCAACCCTGCGGGGATGGCAGATGAAAGCGTGACGATGCGAGTAGTAGAAGCTATCGTAAGGTGAAGGCGCCGGTCAGTTTTTCGTCTTGGGCTGCCAAACACAGACGAAAAAAATGCCTCGGCGGCCACAAGCCTTCATGGTCCGCGGCAACAAGCCTTCTGTGGGCCATAACACGGGTACCAAAGCAGCATCAACAACATACTTGCTACGTGACGTTGGTCCGTTGTAGCCACGGTTGTGCTGTTGGTTATCTGATGCGGATACTCAGGAGTTCCATTCCCTATTGATCTCATCGTCTGCCGCCTTGCTTCAAATCCGATGCAGTGAACATCGGGCATGAGGGTATTGTAATAATTTTACTCTCACCCTCCCTCCCTCCCTCCCTCCCTCTCTCCCTGCCCCCATTCCTCTTTTTCACTCTCCCTCTGTACATCCCCACCTCGAATCGTCGGTTGCTTTAGGAGGACCTGTTCGGCCAGGGCCCCGTGTGTGCGAGCTGTCACGTCATGCTCACCAAGGAGTTCACGGAAAAAATAGAGCCGCCGCTTGACAGCGAGATCAGCCTCCTGGAGGTGCGTGGGTTGGGTGGGTGTGTCTGTTCGTGTGCGTGGCACACGGACCAACACATGCACCAAGAAAAGGAGGGCTGGTATGCGCCTTATGTTTGAGCGCTTAGAGCGTCTGAAACAAGGTACCCGGTCGAGGTTCGCGCGTTGGTGCGGGTCGGAGAGGGAAACGCGCGCGTGTTCGTGTTTGTCTTCGCGAGCATCGACGTTGTTGCCCGGAAGAATCAATGAAGAAGCCGTCAGTCTCACCACCACATTCTTACATGATGTCGCGAACGGCTGTAACCAACCAGTTTGGTTGATGTCACACAGCTCTACTGCTTGGCGCAGTTACCAGGGGTATTCTTTTCCACCCCCGTTTCCAACCCCTTTCTCTCTCCGTGTGTCGTTACTTTCTTGTTTGTGTGTGTCCCAGAGAAAGGGGGAGCTGTATGCGCCGGGGTCATCCCGCTTGGGGTGCCAGATCAAGCTTTCCAGGGACCTCGATGGCATCACGGTCTTTATCCCGGACGGACCTCCCGTCGGGTAGATGACGGCGACGTCGATGTGTTCTACGGACTTTAGTGGAGTCTACCCCAGACGCCGGTGTCGGCGATGGCTCGAGCGCTTTTCCATCCTGTGTTGCCGGGTCTGAGCAGGCCGAGGCAGCAGCGCGGGGAGCAGAACGGTCCGGTTTCGATTCCTTGGAACGGCGAAGGGGTAGCGGTATCGAGACCGCTGTGCACGGGTCGGGGCAAGGGCGATACCTGCGCACCACGTGTTTGCGTCGGTGTGGAAGGACACAGGAACCTTTAATTAGGAGTTGAAAGCGTGGCATTGCTCGCGTTTCGCGTTTGGCTTAAAGGATACTTGATGTCCTGCACGTCATTTATGGTATGGGCACCGGGCCGAGGGGGAGACAATGTACTGCCTCCGAGAAAGGGGCCACGGGAACTTTCGGGGAAGTGGGAGTTTGGGGGCGCCAAGCTCAATGTTTGAGGCTAGGGAGGCGTGAGTTTGTTGGTGTGCTGCGTACACGCGTTCGGTGTGTTGCGTTGCAGGTGCAGCCGATGTACGTACCAGTAGCTTGCAGGTGGCGGTGAAAGTTGGTGTCGGCATGCTTACAGGTCGTGGTCATGCTTTTCTCGGTAGTGTTGGGCAGGATGTGTGATGGGGGAGAACGGCCGAGCAAAGCACGAAATACAGAGTGCTGATGCGGGCGGGGGAAACAATACACCGGTTTCCCTTTGCAGGATGTTTGCAGGCCGACCGCACCTCGTTTGGTTGGATTGTTTCAAGTATTTGAACTGCTGCTACAACCTCTCAAGCTTTCAGTCCAAAAACACAAGTAAATATCGCCTCGGGTTATTAGCCCTCAAACACGCAAGAAACGAATTCTTTGAGATCCGCAAGTTTGGATCATCTGTTCAATTTGGGGGGAAATGGTATGTTTGTGTCACTGCTCTGGCGCTGCCAGACTTTTTTTCTTGAGATTTACGTGTCGCATCCATCCGCCCATATCCTTGCCAACAGACAGCATGCGGGATCTGTAGAGACGGCTGTGACTTTTTTTTCTTCGATTCATCCGTGATCTCTGTCGTTGCTGATGCATGTCCGTGTGGTTTGCAAAGAACCCACGATCTCGGTCTCCTGTGTAGTCAGTTCCCGGCCACAACCAGCGTTGCATTTTCCTTGTTTCGACCACAAAAATATCGGTCTCAACAAAGAACACCACCGAGAAACTACGCGGTACTGCCGTAGGTCACGATTTTCAAAGCCCGATTACTCTGCTTGCGGCACAGACAGCCGCATTTTGCCGAAAACGGCGGCGCCGAAAACGTCTCGTCGAGAGCTTTCGAATCTGCGATCATGTGAAGATGGGTTACTCTTCGTCGTGGAGTAATCAAGCTTTGAGCTCGGTCCAAGAGGGGGCTGGTATCTTACGGAACCTGCCCTGTCCTTTCGTTCTAGATATCTCGCCCTTTTTGTCAAAGTTAAACTTTCGTTTTGGGTGGTTTCAGCATTGATGCCATGAGTGGATCCGATCATAACGACGTATATGCATATGATCTACGCTCACACCTCTGGTCAAGGTTTTCGCAGGCAGCAGAATCGGTTTGTTGGCAACACCTCCTCGGACCCAAGGAAAGTTGTCTACTGGCCTGTACAACATACATACACCAATCAGCAATGAAGGAGTGGCGACAGACGCACGTGGTCTCCACCCAGGACGAGCGAGCGGGCGGAACAGGATTATCGACACCGAGGAAATTTCTGAATAATCGGTCGTTGTCCTTATTACATGCGCTGAGAACTGGAAACCATTCGTCTCAAAGGAGAATCTTGAATGCTGTGCGTGTGTGTGTAGGTGTCCCTACAACACAACAACACCAGCATCAAGCCCGCACCACCAGATCCACACTTCTTTCGATGCAAAACTAGGTTACACCTCCTTGGCCGAGCTGCTATTCTCCGCCCACACACGAGCTGGGCCCATCCGATTTCCCGACTTGCAAGGCACGTACGCGTGTGGGAGCTGCCTCCAGGGCTCATCGTTCACGGTCGATCGACGGGAGGAGCAGTTCCACCAGTTAGTTCCGCAAGAACGTTCCGGGAGTTGCGAGGGCGTGAGCACTATAACGCGGCGGTGGAGCCTGCTTCCTGCTGCGCGTGCAAGAACCTGGGCGAAGCTTGTTCTCCAAGAGGTATGTGTAGTACCATAGTTTCAAGCAACTAGAACTGAGAGGTCGTGGAGGGTGCACACTGCTGTTGTCTGCTGTTGTTGCGTTTGCTGCCAAAAGAAACGTTCGTATATAAAACATCCAAGCGTGCTTTTGTATTTCTCCGCCAGGCCCGCCAGGCCCGCCAGGCCCGCCGGGAGATTCTCCACCGCGAAGGGACGATCATCTTGGTAGACAACTCTCACCTGCGGGTGTATGGAGAGAGGCGAACAGAGGCAGCAAAGCGAAGCACAAGAGTTCTGCCACCACGCATGCTTTGTTTCTATCTTTGATGCAGATCTACCAACACACCAAGCAATAGCGGAACACATCGTGTTTTTTGGGTCGAATCCCGCGCCTGTTGCCAGCAGCGGGACGAAGGCTGTGTGTGGTGTACGTGCAGGCCTGCCATATCGCGCCACTCCGAGAGCACAGTCCCACCCCTCACGAGCATAGCCAACTTTAGGGTTGTGCGTCGTGAGGCGCTGCGCGTCAGGCTCCCCCAACGGTGTGGTTCATCCTCCCGTTGCAACGGATCGTCGATCTTGGCGAGAACGGGCGGCGGGTACAAGAGACCGCCGGGAAAATATAGTCTACCGGTCATCCGGCCAATCCGGCCGCGGTGATATCTATGTATCTAGCTCCCAGCCCGACTCCCTGGTGTCGCCACACACGTTTGAGCACACGTGTCACGTAAGTTTCGCTATCGGTTTGCCGAAAATATATGGCCAGCGCCGCCGGCTACTGATGTCTCTGTGACCGCCGTCCGTAGCTCGGTGAGGTACCCACCCTAATATTGCTATTAAAGAGCAAGTTGAAATATGGTGCGAAGGTTGAACCTGAAATTGCAACGTCCCGTATCCCTCCGCCGCAACCCCCTCCAACCGCACGCGCGCACGTTGCTTAAGGATGTGAGTGATTCCCCTCACCCTCCCTCCCTGCTACCACTGCTGCGCCCAAACAGTATATTACTGTAGGTGTTCGTCTCCGACGGCGAGGTAGACGCACGAAGAAGAGCGGAGATGTCGGCGGCTGTGTCCAATGCACCGGCTTCGGCCGCTTCAGCAGCTTCAACAACAATGGCAACAGACGACGTCGAGGCACCTGCTCTCGACCCAACACGCGACCAACTGCGGCCAGGAGGGCACCCGACAACGTCGGGAGATGCTGCAGCGGTAGAGCTGGCGACCGGCCTGGATGCTGGCGACGCTGCTGGCCCTGCTGGCGGCGCGCAGCTTTATACCACTCCGCGAGCGCTGGAAGGATCCAGTCTTCCTTTTCTGGCTGGATTGGCGGGGATTGTGAGCTGGTTCTCTCCTTTGTTCTTTGGAATCCCCTCACGGCACTCTCGGTGGATTTTTTAGGCCTCTCTTCCCATATTTTCTTGGCGCCAGTCTACTGCTGTAGTAGGCCTCTCTTCCCATATTTTCTTGGCGCCAGTCTACTGCTGTAGTCAGCTAATATTTGAAGAACCGGCTGATGCCACACAAGAGGAAGACCACCTTTTTTTGCTCTGGTGACGATTTACCTTCAATATATTGTGCATGATACAACTAATAGCGTACTTTCAAATTTTTCATTCAACTGCTGCTACCCGTAGAGGTGGAGAGATAAGACCCCCACCTATCTATGGAGACCGATTTTCAAAGCTCGCTTGCTCCACAACCAAGATTGTGCCAACAACAAGAGTGATGTTGTTGTGAAAAATCGCGTCTTGGGCTTTCCGTGGAATTATCGAGTTCTTCCCGCACCCCTTGGTTGTGGAGCAATCGAGGTTTGAAAATCGGTCCGGGGGGGGTGCCATCTCTCCGCCCCTTGCGGATGTACATTTAGTCCAACGGTAGCGTTTCAAGTCTTCTAATCCTGTAGTAACCCCCCCACAAATCTCAAACGACGACTTGTCTTGTAAAGTAATGCAGCGGTGTTCAAGTCAAGAAGTTGCCGGCTCCACTCCTGATCTAGAATGAAGTCCATTTGAACTGTTGACTTGGGTCGACTTTGTTGGAACGAAGGCTGCCCATACGCCTTGCCTCGGTGCTCCTGGGTTTGTTCGGGATCATCCAATCAGGCGTCGTGTACCGCCTGTTGTACCTGTCCGGGCGATACCGTGTGTTCCTCCTGCTGTTGCGCAGAGATCAATGTCCAACGTTTTGTTCTTCGTAGCCTCGGTGCCACATTGTACACGATCAGTTAAGACCGTCTGGAAACATTTCAACATCGCGGCATCATTGGAGATGAACCAACATCACGCATACACCCCCCGCTGCACACTACATAGAACCGCCGAGAATACGTCCACGTGAGAGACAGAATTCCTGCATTTTGTGTTGTCTCTATCGATGGTGCGCCGTCGTCTATGCTATTTATCGCGCTCGCCCACGCTTACGTACGTCGTTTCCTCCCTCTCCCCGCTCTTGCCAAGAACAGATATCCACGATCTTCATCCTCGGCGACCTCTTGAACAAGCGCATGCTCCATCCTGCCAGCATCGTGGTGTTTCTGCTGTCGGTGAGCTACTGCGTGGCGATGCTGAGGCGACAGTGGGCAAGCACCGGTGAGTCAGGCGGTGCGATGGAACACCAGGTAGATGACATCAATCTTGACATACTTGATCTTGTGTGTGTTGGGAAGGTGGCCTTTCACCAGGGAAGGCGCCCAAGTCTGTTGGACCAGTACGGATACTAGGAGGTACTGAGAAGAGACCAGCCAGATCTTTACTTTTTATGCGACAATAGCAATTACAACAACGACAACAACAACAACATGCGTCAACATGCTTCAACATGCGTCCCTCCGCTCCGCGCAGCATTTTTTTGTGTGAGACAACCGATAATGTATTCATATTTTTTCGGTGCCGACCTACTATACACAGGCGGAGGCACGCGGGAGGGGCGCAACAACAGCTTCACCAAGGAGGCGCGAAAGGAGTTGATCACGTACTTCGTGTTCGGTGCAGGCCCGGAAGGACTGCCAACGGAGGCGGGAGCGGGGGCGGGGGCGGGAAAGAAGGGAAACCGCCCAAAGCAACAAGAGCGGGGCAACGGTGCATCGGGTGATGAGCTTCAGGTTAGCAGGACCAGCAGCAGGAGGTGGCGTAGGGAACGCCAGCGCAGCAGCGGTGGTGACGACGACGACATTGTAGGAGGTGCCGGCGTCAGCGACGGCGGTGCAGCGCGGAACGGTCGCATCGACGCCAACAACGCGGATACCGGCGGCTCGCTTTCCGCGAACACGCCGATGCCTTCCACGGGGCCTTGTTCTCCGGCACCATTAGAAGAAGAAGTTCTTGATGGCGATGCTGCTACTGCTGCTACCGCCGAGGACGCTGCTGTGACTGCCTCCCCCGGACATGCAACAGCTGCTGTCACCGCCGCAGCTACTCCGACTGGTCCTGAGCTACCGAGAGCAACCGGTGAAGGTGAGAGGCGGAGGAGGGCGAAGAGGGGGGGTTGGACACGTTAAAGAGTTGCGATCGTGGTGGCCGTATGCTTTCGTGTTGCTTCTCTCTGCATTGTCTTTCGAGCATCAACAGGCTTGAGGAGAAGTTCTTCCCCCTCGCCCCGAAGAAGTGCAAGTTGCGCACAATGTGCACCACAAGAGCAAGCTAAACTGAACGTTTTAAAAAAGAACACCCAATGAGGATACAATCGTAATATCAGGACGGAACTTTCCTTGCGCACGTTCCTTCAAGCAGATGCAGCAGAAGAACAAGCGTCAGCAGCGGCGAAGGCCGCTGCAGAGGACGACCCGACCAGGGCACAATCCGACTCGGGAGAGTGGTCGACGGGTCAAGCGTGCATCGTGTGCTTCGGCGACTACGAGCCCGGAGACCGGTTGGCCCTCCTGCCGTGCCGGCACGTGTACCACGCACAGGTATATATCATCCATCTGCGCGCGCGTGTATATATGTGTGTCCATGTTGTTAGTATCGACGGAGCTAACCGGCTGACCTATGAAAAAACGTCAGTCTCAGTGCGGTTGAAATGTATGTGTGTGTTTGTTTTATCGCTAATATTTCGTGTAGTTTCTACTTGGAAGTAGTCGATTACGGCGGGGATCGCGCGAGGCGATCCACGGTCGTTGTTCGAACCACACGGACTTGCTCTTGTCGTAGGTGTCGGGGGGGGGCACGCGACAGGCGGTCGACGGTGCTAAGTGGTAGTCTCGAGTTGTACCTTCGTGCGCATCAAGTACGGTTGGGAGGGCAGCGGGTTGCCTCTAAGGATAGTAGTACCACAAATACTTGTAATTTGGTGTGCTTTCTGTATTACTAAGTCTACCATTAGCTCTATCCCTACATTAACGCAGTTCCCGTAACCTTTTTCTGGTGTGCACGCTTTCGGCGGGAGAAACGCGCAAAAAATAAAGTTTACGCCCGAACCCACTCTCCGGTACCAAGCTGAACCCGCCCCCCTCCCGCCGCCCCCCCACCCTTCGTTTTCCCGCCGGCCATCGAAACTCCAATCCAATCGCCGTCATCAGTGCATCGACGAGTGGTTGGACAGGGCGAAAATCCCTAGCTGTCCGTTGTGCAAGACGGACCTTCGCCATGCCACGCCCCCCGATGATCGCTCTAGGAGCATCTCTACTGCTGGTGGGGGCGGTACGAGTGTCAATGCTGCCAGAGTTGGAGGAGGCAGCGGCGGCGGCGGCGGGGGGGAGAGGGTCGAGTTTACGGGTGACAACGCCGTGTAAAAAGAAAATCGGTGGTGTTTTTCTTGTGTCTGTTCGATTTCGGTGCGATGAAAGGTCATGTGTGTGTGTGTTCGTGCTTGACCAGCGTGAAATGGCGGTGCGAAACGGTTTGAGTACGCATCCTTGCTTCGCAGGTGAAGTTGAAGTGCGTGAAATCTACTTATCCGTATGTGGCAGCATTGGGAGTCTGCAGTGCAACACAGAATAGATAGAACATAGACGACGCATTTATCCACGAGGTCTTTGCATCCGCCCACAACAGCTCGAATGGAAGCAGGGCTGCGAGTTTTGTCGAGATGTCGACTGTAGAGCTTACGTACGATATTGGCAAGGTTGGCACGGGGCCGGGGGAGGAAAGACGCACGCCAATGGATTGATTGGAAACCCTGACCGGCTTTCCACTAGGGAATTGGGATAAAACGCCTACGCGCGCAGGGGGGGGGGGGTTTCAACCCTGGGAAAAAGTAGGCCCTGAACCTCTCGGTGGTGTTGAACTATGATGTTTGGAGAGGGGGGAGAAGAGGAGCAAGACGGCAATAACAATCTTTGTTTCGGTAAACCGCATCCGGCCGGTTGTTGCGCTCGCATGGCAGTGACCACACACGGCGGGTGCGGCATTGATTCTAGGTTTGATATGCCTACAAGTTGGATGTCTTTGTTTACGGTACAGCAGTTTATCTGTGTGTGTGAGTTTTGGGGGACAGGGACGGGGGGAGGAGCTGGTCGTGGAGCACGGGTGGGGTACATTGAGGAGCGCACCATGGTGGAAAGGAGGGAGTCCTGGAGATTTACCACCAAAACCCAATCAGTCGCGTGGAGACGCAAGGTGCAGTTGTGAGCTCCCCGGGACTTGCCGTTGTGGTATCTTTTTTTGTGGGGGAGGGGAAGGGGCGGGGGGCGAAGATGCACCCCCGTGGGTGTTGCTTTAGTCCAGGGTGGAAGAGGACGAGCGGATGGGATGCGTTCATTCGCGGCGCCAGTCGGTCGGTCGAAACGAGAAACAACCACCGATGGAATATCGCAGCGCGATTGGCGCAACGGTACAAAACGCCATTGCGTAGGGCTGAACGTTTCTTTCTACCCGGTTCGTTGCAGCGGCTATTTTGTCGCTCTCAGTGTTTAAAAAAATGTCGTTGGTGATGTGGCCGGGACTATTCACTCAAAGAGCGCAGGCAGCAAGGCAAGGGACTGCAAGCTGGATTTACGTTAATGGTGACATGGATACCCCGTACACATTGAACCGAACGGGGAGGTCAAGAGGAGCCACCGACCATGCTAGACACTTGTATGCATAGATTGTTTTGTGTTTGCATTTTTTTGTTTTCTCGTGACCTAGTCATGGTCCGGTTGTACAAGAGGTGGGTTGGAAGAGAGATAGCGCTTTTATTTGATTGTTTTGATTATAGCGTTTTTCAAGGTTAAGAACATGTAACGTCCTTTGTTTTCTTGTTTCCTTTGTCGTTGTTAGTCTTGGTGTCTTGATGGCCCTCCGCAAGGCTGCGTTGAGCTCTCATCACCCTGCGCGAGCACTCAATAGACAACCTAAACGCTGATTGTGGTTTGTGCGCTCACCCAACGGGGAAGGATTGTTTGTGGGGGATAAGTTTGAGTCGACGATATTCTTTGAGTCTTTGGTATAGAGGAACGCGTAGAAGCGCGATCACCCGGATTGATTGTCGTTTGAGGCCTTCACATGCAGAACGTAGATAGGTGCTAATACGTGTTGTGCGCTGCTTGTGCTGTTGCGGCTGTCCGTCTGATTTGTGGTTTCCTGTTGTAAAATTCAGTTCATCTTGCACTGGCGGCCTGGGAGAGAGAGGAGAAAACGCTGAATGGAGTGAGTGCTGATTATGTTTCGACGTGTGAATCGGTTGTGTTCTGTGTCTTGTGTTGTTGTGTGCGTACACCAAACACAACGAGACGATGAGTGATTCGTGTTTGGCACCACGGGCGGGTACAGGTGGGGTTTTGGGGTCTATCAATAGTGCTGTTCGGACGGTGTGGTTGCAGTTGTTCTCACTTGGCTGCAGCGCAGGCATGAAACATCGTAGGAACATCGGCGTAGGCATAGTATCAGGTGTACTCGTGCGGTAGTGATACATACGCATAGCAACAACGTTTTTTTTGTAAGGAAACGGTGGCAGTCTTCGTCAAATCTGTCGTTGGTATCTGTGTACTGCGGAATCATCATGATTTTCGGTCGATATTGGTGTCTACATTTGGCATGAAGGAGAATGAATCTAATATTGATACTGCTATAGTCAGGGTTAATGATGTTCAAGGTTTCTGATTGGCCGAGGCACACTTAAGCCTGTAGCTTTGTGGATATCGCTCTGATCGAGATTTCGGCCACGACGATTTGTTCCCTTGCTCATGGGGGTCACTAAGATACCCCATTTGTCAATTTTGTGCACAAGTTTCGTCTGGCAGCTGTGGTTAAACCAATTTGGGTTCAATTCCATGAACCAGCTTGTACGGACGGACCTCGCCCGCTGAAAGCGCGGATTAAATCCTGCACTACTGGGTCCATGTGCACGCACACGAACTAACGCTGTAGGACGATTGCAGGCGAAAACCTACCACCATCCTGCTCCTCTCTTCCCTCGACAAGGAACGTCGTTAAAACCGAACACGCCAGGGAAGAAAACAAAAATGCGCGATGATGTTGCCCGCCTCATACACACACAAAAAACAGATTCGATGGCGCACCACGGTTGCTGCAATACTCGCTGTGTGCTTGCTCTGCTGTACATGGAATAATTTATGTATTTCGGGCTTTCGGCGGTTTTTCCCTTTAGCCGTATGTTGCAACTTAGGTTCAATATAAAAAAAGGTGCCCATTAGTACGACTGCCGGAGGCCCCGCGGACTATTGAAAGCCGTACCTGGTACATCAAAGCGTTAGGTCGACGCCAAAACAAGGGTAATTGGATTGCACACTAACCTAACAGATAGCCTTCTTCTGGAATTCCCTGGCAAGACCACGAGCTCCAGAACCAACCCCTCAAGTAAGTTACGGCGAAAGAACACAAAAGCAGCAAGGAACCACCTTTCTATTGGGCCATGTAGTCGGATATTCACGCGTATTGCCACACGATACACTGCCTGCCGTCGGGCGGTAACCCGTTTTGTAGAGAGGGACCATGACGTAAAATGGGCGTACCGTCCACCCCGAGAGAAAATTGAAATGTAACACACAAATGTGCACACACCCTCGAGACCGATTTTCGCCGTATTGCCGAAATCGCGGCGCCGAAAACATCTCGTCGGGAGTCTTCGAAACTGCATTCATGTGAAGATGATAGCATCCTCTTCGTCGTGGAGCAACAGAGCTTTGAACTTGGTCCAGGGAAGGCGTCGCATCTTTCGGAACCTGCTGTACAGAACGCGCCACCACTTGAAAACTTAGCAGTTAAGACCTTGAGCCTCAAATAATTCAAAATCGAAGAACTTGGCCGTAACAGGTGCTCAGTTCCGACGTGGTACTATGAACAAGAACCCGCCTTTGTGTTGTACCGATGCACCTGCAGATAAGAACGAAGCCCCAAAACACGGCAGCTGCAAGACACGCCCTCAACATGGTGGGGGGTGACCCCGACATCAGCAGTTACTTTCAGTTTCGGGGCGGGAGGGGAGGGGGGACCACCGCGTGAAATAATGATTGTACGCGCAGAAGGGGGGAGGGGAGGGGGCGTGGTTAGACAATTGACCACGCGTCCTCTAGACGACGATCCGGCACTGCGTTTCCACAGGCCGATCAAGTATGGCCAATCGTTCCTTCCTACTTCGCCAAAGGTGACTCAATGGCGTTGTCCTTTAGTCTATTATCATATTTGTCGGTAACACTTCCCACCTTTGAACCCACTTTCTACGCCCCAATACAGCTATCTACCGTCTTCTCCGGGCTAACCCATGCCTCAAACATCTACTACAGTACATGTCTTCTTTCTATGTACTTTTCCCACCTCGGACATGTACATTTCTCTCTCCTTGGCGTGTACAAGGGACATTCCGCAACTTCACTCACATTTGTTTTTCATGCCTTAGCGGTTAGACCATTGACCACGCGTCCTCGAGAGGACGGGGCATTGTTCCCCCAGGACCGATCACCGATGGCTAATCGTTCCTTCCTGCTTTGCCAAAGGTGGCTGAAAATTTTCTTCCCTAGCCTATCTATCCTATCGATGCCACTTCCCGCCGTTTCAACGCACTTCCTACGCCCCAGTACAGCTACCGTCTTCTCCTCACCATTCCATGCCTCAAAAATCTCCCTGTATCTTCCTTCTACTTTTCCCAGCGCAACCATGTACACTTCCTTCTCCTTGTACAACGGACATTTCGCAACTACATGAACGAACCCAGTCTTCGCACTGGGAGCCGCAATCACATTTGAACTTGTCTCCATCGTTTACCTTCCTAAATATTCGGCTACGTTCTCGGGTGTGCGGGTGTCACTGTTGTTAGCATCGACCGCGCTAACCGGCTGACCAATGACATGATGCCAGTCTCAGTTCGGTTGAAAACACAAAGAGCTTCTAAATGCCATGAATTGGGACCCCGTGAGGAGGCGGAATGGGGGAGACAAAGCTATTCTCAGGGAAAAATACAATGTGTGTCTTTAGTATTAGCATCAACCACGCTAACAACGTGTGTGTGATGCACCCTGGCTCCAAACCGAGGATCGTTAAACGTAAGTTTTGAATTGGATGGAGCGTCCTGCACCGGACTGTCATCCCGCCCATCCTTCTTTGCAATAGGTTCTCACTTGACCCAGCGAGACGTGATTTTCACCCTTACTTCCTCCATCCGTCACGGTACCACCTCCTACAGTCCCGCACATACATGCGGCAAGTTGTTGTTGGCACGTGCAGGGCAGGGAGGGGCAGATCACTATTTAGCGTCAGCATAGATCTGCCCGCTAACGCGCTCACTAGTGTTCGGAGCGAAAGAAAGGAGTGGCTTCTTCACGCCTACAAATCCCAAGATATCCCATAAGATCCAGTGATCAATTTCTTTGTTCCAAACTTGGTGCATCAGCTCTGAACGGACTTTTTCTGCTGCTGATGTTAACCACACGCTGTTATACTCTCTGTTTCGCGTTGAAATCCACCCAGAAAGGCCTGTGTGCTCTACATGGGGCAATCGGCGTAGAAATAAGAGCCAGACCCCGTTTATCCTATGCGCTAATAAACAAGAACATGCTGAAAAAGATCATGGGCTCGGTTTGAGGCAACCAATAAGCGTCGAGACTGACGCAAAGTACGTGAGTCATAGGTGGCGCATCCTGTATCCTTTCGTAACGATATCGATCCTTTCTGACAAATTTTTACATCTTGGGTAGTTTGTAGATGCCACGCGTGGATCCGATCATGGCGATGCGAGATCGTTTGTGATTTTCCCTTCACGATTTCGTTACTTCTTGTTATGGTATTTTCGGTTCGGATGTTTTGGTTATTTTTCGCACCCATGTGCCTTTTTCCGATTTTATCCGCCGACTTTGCCGCCCCCAGTTTCTTTGTTTTCTTCTTTCTTGGTTCCGCTTCTTTGGTTTGGTTAACGGAGAGGTGCGGGTGAGGGTTTTGAGTTGTCGTATCTTCGATCCATCCCGCAATCCTCTTGATTGACTAGAGTCCCTCCGAGGTTTGCTTCTGTATCTGCATCTACGTCCACTCAGGGTGGGCTATTGTTATGGTATTTGGAGGTAGACATGTGATCGTGGTTGATCATGGTTATTTGGCGCCGTCGGACGCTAAGACGTGGCGTCATGCTAGATCAGGGCTTTATGCCGAGACATGTGCCCTTCTGTTCAGTGTGTGCGTACAGACGATCTATGATCGTGTGTGCGCGGGATATTGTGAGTTGGCTTGGAAAGCGTTAATCAAGAGAAATAGAACAACGGAACGCAACAACAACCTGCTACTGTGGTCGGACAAGAGAGTTCCACACAGACAGCTCAAAGGTGATTGATTCTGAAGGAAGGGGTCAAATACCATTACACATGCATATGCATTAGCATGACGAGTTGGTACTACGCTCACACCTCTGGTCAATGTTTTCCAAGGCGAAGCGTCCGTTATGTTGGCAACACCTCCTCGGACCCAAGGAAAGTTATCTACTGGCTTGTACTGCATACGCCAATCGACAAATTGGAAGATTTTTGTTCGCTCAAGAATTCTGTATTCCATGACAAAATTTTGTCCATGATACGCCTGTGACACGGGCCCCTTGTCATTCGCCCAGGACCTGGAAATGCCACGTGATCACTCCCCCCTTCTTGCATCATGTGAAAGCATCCTTTGACAGAATAAGTACCCGCGAATCGTCTGGCTCTGGATCTTGTACACGAAATACCGACGAGCCATAAGTGCAGACAGCGGTTCCCCTACCACACTATCTATCCCATCCTTGTCACGAAGCGATGGTCTCCAGCACGCGCACGCATCCTTGGTAACTCTGTTGGTACCCCGGCCGGATGGTCCGGAAATGGGGTCGCCATCCGACCCCCCTCCCTCTGCGCTCGTGCTGGCCCGGGCATCCTTTCCTTGTGCACTTGATGTTTTCTCATCTAGTACACACAGCGTAACGGCGGGAACACAACTTCAAGGGACCCCTCCTAAGGCGTAAGATGTTCACGCATGCCGTTGAATAGGCCCGGAATGGGTGAGGGGGTAAGAGAATTGGTCGTCCAAAACATCTCTTCTTCCCTCGGCTATACTTTCCATCAAGACGTGACAACTCAGTGAGTGATTGTGAAACGTGTCCACCGCTCCATCTTTCTCGCTACTCCTCGTTTCGTTTGACCAGTTCTTTATGGCCAGCGGGAGAACAACGCCACCCTATTTTCCGAACCATTACCAATTCAGATGTTCTCAACCACGGGCCATAACGTTCCAGACCGAGTCGTCCAGACTTTATTTCGGCAATTTCTTTTGGAGATAGTACCGAGCTCGCCCCCCTCCCCAACATCCTGCTGTTTCCACCCTGAGTCATTCGTAAGTTTCTCGATGTTGACGGCGATCTCGTGTTCTTCCCAGCGTGAGATCCCATCTGCGAGAGTGCTCTTTCGACCAGGTATGTCCTTCCCATGAGTCTCATTATGAGACCCGCTCGCCTGTAGCAGGATCCGCCGCACTTGTTAGTCTAACTGACGGCCGACACGTTATCCCCACGCATCATCACCGACTGCCCTACTTCTACGGACCCTGTCGTCAAGGTTATTAGAACTACCCACGTCGTCATGAACATGCCGATCAGTTCAAACAGATTGATCGCAATGTCTGACGTTTCCCTCGTCTGTGCCTTGCGCTTGGCTCCGTAGAGTCGGTTCAAGCGTGTATCTCCAGAAAGTCTTGAGTTCAGGGCAGTAGATGCCAGTAGCTGTGAAGCTAGCGTCTGAGAGATAGAGGCGGGATGGTGAGCGCTTATACGTGGAGTTAGAACGAGGTTCTGAGGGACTCCCCTCGAAGTGCCAGAGGCTGGCTTAGGGCCCACCTCCAGAAGGCAACATCGCCGTAGAATTCCATACCCAGCTCCACTAGTCGCCGAGATCGTGAGTGTCGACTGGCTTGAGTATGCAGCCCTGATAGGCGGAGCAGGTGCCACATGAAGTACCTGCCGGCTCTGAACAAGTAAGTGAGGTTCCAGAGTTTTCCTGCCAGACTGAGGACTTCTTGAAAGCTGGCCAGCTTCCGATCGCTGGGCTATGCCGCTTCTGGGGTGTTTCTAATCGCGCTCACCCGGTCGGGAGTCGTTGCGATTCGGCCACCGTGCGTGTCTATGGTGTACCCCAGGGCCTCTATGACGGTTTTCCAGTCAGTGCTCGTTTTTGGAGCGAGAACGGGTGTTTCTCCTACTTCGCTCGCGCCAAACAGTCTGACGTGGTCTGAGGCTAGAGAGGCTGAAGCGATGAGTGCCGATTGGTCGTTGGGATCATGGTGGACCTTCGTGGGCAAGAAATCGTCAACACACACCCTGGCCAGGAACTCGTCAGTGGGTCCTCCGCCTCGGTGCGGTTGTATGTTTGCCGATGCTGGAATAGGGTTTGGGGTCCCCTTTCCCAAGAGGGTATCAAGAGGGTATGATTTTGCTATGGGACATCATCGCGACCCCTTCTGGGAGCAGTCGTGCGTTCGCGAGAGACGTGTTGCGGTGCGAGTGCTCTGCAGCTGAGGCCAGAACACCCCCATAATCCTGGTGACGCTGTCCAACCACATGTCAGTCGTAAGTCCGCTACTAGCACGTCTCCTATCACATACTTCAACCCTTGTGCGCGTAATCTAGTAATATCCTTACGCTTCGGAACGCAGAGGTAACGTCAGCCTTGGCCGTGAGTACTCTCTTGTCGGGCCATGTTACTCGTAGACTTGTGAGCTCCTCGAGGAAAGCTGACAGTGCTTCACCGCACCGGCAACGTGGTACTCCGGACATGATATTCTCCATCACGTGTGGTGTCCACCACATTTATCGTGGCGTTCGGGTCAAAGCCGTAATTGATCGCGCTATTGGTGTCCGCCAATAGGATATCTGTGATTGTTTCTCCACATGAACAGCGTCCACCGTTCGTGGGTGTGTGACTAATACTCTTGCACGTTGCGTGTTCGCCCTACGTGTATCGTATTGCACACAATTGGTGTCCGCCAATGACTGTTCGTTTACGGCCATCTTCGCGGCGTCCACCGCTTGTGTGTCACCTGACCAATTCTTAGCACCGAGGGTGTCCGCCCCCGGGGCGTCTGCCTGTGATTTTCAGCACGCGTGGTCCGCCACATTGAATGATGAAAACGAATGAAAACAGTGTTTTGTTGAGGGTAATACGGAACGCTCGCTCTCACCGCTCCTGCTCCGAGCTCGCTACCCCCCTTCGTCGGCCTCGTCGGCCCCACCTCAGGAAAGTGGGGTCCTCCTCCTCCTCCTCCACCACCACCTCCGTCTATGTATTATATTTTTCTTTA